ACAATTTTGTTGTGAATACTGCAGTGTTGGACATTTTATTACTTAGATCTTGAAAAGTATACTATCTTTATATCTTGTATGACCTAATACATTTTTATCTAAACAGAACATGGTTCTGGTTACTGAAACATATTTTTCTCAAAATTTGCAGGTATCACATGACCAATACTATTAAGTAACTCATAACCTGGAATTTCAAAAAGAATTCTGTTATCAATGTTCCCCAAATATACTGAAGTCTTAGTAATTGTCATTGTATCATAGTCTTCTATTTTAATCTCGTCTACTTGTTCCTAATAACTCTAACATTATAAAAATACCAATTGAGTTCATTCTTCAATCTCCTCTGCATTTATCTATAAATCTGATAAACTTACCTTTAACAGTATTACTTCCAAACTTCTTGTTGCCCTAGCTATCCTATTTTATTATTTCCTATTTCTAAAACTCCCTCACCAAAAAAATATCTTACTACCTGAAATGCTTAAAAGGAAGCCATTATTTGCATCAAATTCACCTTTATCCTGAAAACAATCACACATGTCCAACCAGCCCTCCTGCATATCTGATGTTTTCTCACTTAAGTCTTGGATCCCGCTAAATGATTTATTATGCATCTAGTCTTTGAAATCATTCTCAAAAGGGCCAAATATTAGGTTGAGATTAGTGGTAGTAATAACATAATGCTGAAGGTTATACCTGTCAAAGATCTCAGTTACAGTGTCAGAGTTTCCAAATAGTCTCAGAAGATGACCTATGTACACTGAAGCTAAATCTTTGAAAGATCAATGAGAGTTCCCATCCATTGATTGGATGACTGTCATGGCACCTCTGATGAAGGCAGTATGCTGTATGTCTAATTCTGGAGTATTGGTCTAGGGTTGACAGTGTTCTTCATGTTTCAAGTTATAATTTTATAGTTTTACATAAAGTACTATACTCATGAAACAAGCTGCTGGGTACTGTACCTACAGGATGGCTCAGTATCTTCATGAGTGACACATCTTCACGACAATTGGCCAGACTGAGTGCTCTCCTGAAAATTATATTGGAACTGATATTGCCAAGCTTGCATTTAATTTAATGTGTGCCCAGGAAATCTTTCCTTTTCTCCACAGAATGTTTACTATTCATTTTTGACAGAAAATATTCTGCAACACATAAATGTTTTTTTAATTTCGTCTTTTGGGTTCAAATTATGCCAATTTACACCTTTATTATATTGATTTCATTAACTGCGAGCGCTAAAGGGACACTGCTCTATCATGACACTGAATGGCCTAGGGGAAAGTCACCAGAGGATGTGATATGAATTATATAACTTGATTAATAATCGAGTATGTCATTCGATTCTAATGGATAATCACATACGATGTAATTTAATCAGATTACGATTTTTTTTTATATTTTCATTATTTTAATCGCTTGACAATAGTATTATACAGATTAATAAAAAAATATTGTTTCGGTTTTTTGTATGAAATATATCAATGAGAAAAATAAACATGTATACATTTTTACATAACCAATGTATAGTATGATAAAAGTGATTTTTATTTGTTTATAAAATGTAGTTAGACGTCATTTTGGCGTAGGTTGGCCTTATAGTAGAACTCTGGATTTGTGAGTTGGCGAGGTGGGTTCATAACTCTGTCATACCACAAAATATTTCCCTCACTTTAAGCTGTTAGTGTGTTGTGAGAATGAAGTCAATCCTTTCATAATGGATGGTGAGTAATAGGGTGCTGTTGACTGGCTGCCTTCCCTCTGGTCTGTAATTCAAAATTAGAAACGGTGGCAGATAGACTTCGTTAGGTGCTTAAAAGATTCGGGGCTCGAACCCATAGTCACAGGAATTTTCAGCATGATATCGATCATGGTTTTCTATTTTAATTTGTCCCCCGCTGGGACAGTGGTCAGTCTACGGATTTGCAACGCTAAAATTAGGGGTTCGATTCCCCTCGGTGGACACAGCAGATAGCCCGATGTAGCTTTGCTATAAGAAGAAAGGCATACATGCTACTCTGATTCTTCAAGACACCATTTGGGGATTCGTGGCACCGTCAAATACAATCGGTGCCCCGTGTACCATTGCCTAGTGACGTCTTTGGTTTATTGTATGACATCTTGATTATCTCTAGAAGGACTGTATTACCAGCTTATTAATCTCATTTTTAATGCAGTAAAATAACGCGATATCTATCCGATCGCAAACGTGCACTTGTTGTATAAAAAAAATCATTCATTTTTTTCAATTATGTTGCAGTTTCACTTTCGTATAGTAGCTTAACGGTTTATTAACATATTTATACATTCACTAACGTTTGTCCTCCCCAGTGAGTCAGCGGTAAGTCTAGTATCTACAATACTAAAATCTGGAACTCGATTCCCCTCAGTGGACACAGCAGATAGCCCAGTGTGACTTTGCTGTATAAAAACAAACAAATGCTGGTTTTTATTTATGTTTGTTTGTTTGAATTTATGCACAAAGCTGCACAATGGGCTATCTATGCTCTGCCCACCACGGGTATCGAAACCCGGTTTATAGCGTTGTAAGTCTGCAGACATACAGCTGTGCCACTGGGGGGGGGGGGGGCTTTTATTTATGTCAATATGTTATTATCTATCTACTTCTACCTAGTTTCACATATACGTCATGTGAAGTCTAACGTTTTATACAAGAAATAGTTAACCTCTAACATGATTATGTTATGTTACATCCATTTTTTATCAGAAAATATAAACAGAAAGCAAGTCACATTAACTATAGAAAATATGGTATAAACCAATTCCAAAAAAAAGTAAAATAAACACAAAAC